CGTCTCAGAGATCTCACAAAATTTCACATTTGCTGTACATGGATGACCTGAAGCTGTATGGGAAAACCGAAACCGAAATCCAGTCTCTGACGAACACTGTCTGGATCTTTAGCACGGATATCAACATGGAGTTTGGTTTGGACAAATGTTTGACTGTGGAACTGAAGAAGGGGAAAATCATGGAAAGTGAGGGCATCATATGCCCAATGGCGAAGCGGTCAAGTGTCACCAGCCAGAGGCCTATCAATACCTGGGCAGACTACAGCTGGACAACATCAAACGTGAACATGTGACAACTGTGGTCAGCAAAGAATACATTCAAAGGGTCAGAAAAATACTCAAAAGCAAGCTCAATGGAAGTAACACCATCAAGGCTATCAACACCTGGGCCAGACCTGTCGTAAGATACAGTGCTGGCATCATAAACTGGACACAGGCAGAACTGGACAATTTGGACAGAAAAACAAGAAAACTCATGACCATTCAGAATTCATTCCATCCTCGCAGTGATGTTGACCGGCTCTATCTCTAGAAAGTCTGGGGGCAGAGGACTCTTACAAGTCAAACAAGCAGTTGAAGAAGAAAAACACGATGCCCTGGCAGAACATGCAAAGGAAAGCCAAGAACCTGCTTTAATTGAAGTCAATAATAGGAATCTTCTCAAAGCACAGCAGACAAAGAGTCAGTACAAGAAAACTGCACAAATTTGGGCATACTGGGTATTTGTGCCAAATTTGCTCCAGTGAATGAAAATACATCCTGCAGATCATTATTTACATGGCGATTCATAATGTTCGGATTCTGGTTGGGGGTCACCACAACATGAGGAACTGTATTAAGGGGTCGCGGCATTAGGAAGGTTGAGAACCACTGCTCTAGAACATGGCCATATAGCCCGAAAAAACCTACAACAACCCAGTGATTCCGGCCATGAAAGCCTTTGACAATACACTCGACTTCCCACGGGTCAAAGAACACTACACTCATGAACACAATAGATCGGCCCCATTTGAGCTTTTTGTCTCAGGCCACATGGCATTTCCTTTGTTTAAAGACTCCTTTCCCAGATTCCTTTGTGCCCTCTTATCCCGCCTCCCTCTCTCCTGATTGGCAGTTGCCACCAGGTGGCAGAGGTCTCCCCGTTGGATCCTACGGACCACTGGAGCTTCCTGATTTGTCCAGAGGCACCGGGGGCGGGAGGGC